GAAATTATACCATGTTTATAATTTTTCCATGTATAGAATCTAATTGGGGGGGGTCATCTTAAATTCAGATTCATCTTGGATTTGAGTAAATATAATATCATGAAAACTTAGGCGCTTATACATGTGCTCTGGAAAAGTGTGTGTGTGTGTGTGTGGGGGGGGGGGGGGTGGGGTTACCCTTTAATTAGAGTGGTACCGAGAGCTGCTTTAATTAAAGCACCCAGGGCGTCATGTGTATCAGTGTTCCTGCATTGAAAAATGGTGCCGAACGAGCTTTAGTTAAATCGCCTCAACACCATTTTTCAGCGTGGGGGCGCTGATACATGACACTAGAGTCTGCTCTGGTGCACTGCAATTACAGCACATTGGAGTAGCCTCGCTGTCAGAGCCATCCCTAGAGTGCACACAGGGTTCAGGGGGAGCGGTGGGTGGCAAGCAGCCAGAGTTGGCAGCACTTGGTGGCAGAGCCAGCGGCGTTCAGCAGCAGCAGCACATGGCAGCCGCGGTGGGGCCTATGCGGCACTGACCATGGGACCCCCCCAGTGCGCGGGGTGGTCACCCCAATTCACCCCCTCTAGGAACAGCCGTGCTCGCTGTACATATATCAGTGCCCTTGGTTATCATTTTAAGCAGAAAGCAGGGTAGATTTGTACCTGATAGATTAGCCAAAGTAGATTTATTAATGTAAATAAAATATAGCACAGGCTTTCATGGGCTGAAGCTCACTTCATTGTTGGCTTCAGCCCCAAGACAGCCCTGGGACTGCTTCAAGACCCTGGACTGTCCTCAGGCTGGGCCTGACAATCAGCTGGTCTCAGCCTAGGGATAGCCCCTGGTCCCATGGTGCTACTCATTTAGTTTATGCCCACAAAAACGTTCCACATATTTTGTGGAACATCTTTGTGACTGGCTTGCCACTTCATGGCATCATAAATTAACTGCATATGTAATGCTGTAATTATTTATGGTGCAGTTAATACTATCATCATGCCATAAAAGTAATAGCATGCCAGGGACCCTAAAAACAGAAAGGCCACATCTGCAAAGGACACTCAGAAATGCTAAATTGAATCCATTTAAGTATGTAAAGTCACTGTGTATAAGTTAACACAAGTTAAATTAGAATTATATTTCTGGGCGCTTTAGCTTAAGAGCGCTGACATCACAACCTGAGGTGATTTGCCTTACCTGTACTTTAGGAGGGTCTGGAAATCCAAATCAGTTGGTATTTTTTTTTTGTTCACTCATCGTCCAATATGCTGGAGCACTTCTTCTGACCCCTAAAGAGATTGAGCAATTGCTAGATAGGTAATTTACACATTTCTAGATGAAATGTGTAAATTGATGCATTTCCAGATCAAGGAAGTCATTTATAGTATTTCCTGTTTGCTCATCAGCCAAACACAGACGGAATAATAAAAATTGATGTGAAAGTGTCTATTCCTGTGAAGAAAAGCAAACTTTATAAGAGCCCTTATAAATGTATGTTATAATGTATGTAAGCATCTATCAAAAATTATGTTAAAAGTGAAATGATCCTAAAACAGTTGAGCTTTGATTTTTCACCATTCCCACAAAAACCTGGTTAGACTTCAGAGTTACTATACATCTGGGTTTTTCTGGAAATGTCCTCTTTTTGGGTCCTCCTATCTCATTCCGGGTGTCTTTTTTTAAATGCCAACAGATTTTGCTCTGCTCTACATCCAAGCTTTTCCTGGCACTTTCCAGCTTGCCCTAGCAAGGAACTGCTTGGGAAGCGGGGGGAGGGTGATTGGAGGCAGGGGGCATCCTATGTTTCTGTGTGTGCACACATGTGGCCGGCATGCAACCAGGCAGGGTGGTGGGAGCAGCCCCAGCAGCTGCATGCAGGTAAATCCATGGGGGGTGGGAGTTGAAGGGCCAGGGCTTGGGGACTGTGTGTGTGGGGAGGGGGGGCAAGGTGTATGGAGGGGATGGGTGTGTGAGGGGGAGCAGTGCCTGCTCGCTTTGGGGAAAGCTGTCCAGATGCTGGGGCTGCAGCAGGGCGGGAGAGGCACGTGCCCCTCCAAAAGGGGAATGAGGCAGGGGGGACAGCAGGGAGCTCTGTGGCCTGGCTAGCAGCACTGGGACTGGTGCCCTTACTCGCAGAGGTGGGGCAGCAGGGAGATGCTGCAGGGCAGGGGGGAGCAGGAGGCTGTGTGTGGGTCAGGACTGAGGGGCACCGGCAGGGCTAGGGGGGCTGTGGCTTGGGAGTGAGGGGCAGGGGTAGGTCACAGGCATATAACTGTCAGACCAACCTGGTGGCCTTTTACGACCAGGTCACTAAATCATTGGATGCAGGGGTGGCAGTGGATATAGTTTTCCTAGACTTCAGGAAGGCTTTTGATACTGTCTCTCACCCCATTCTCATTAGGAAGCTGG